TCCTAAATATTCTCCTTCAGAAAGCTCCCCTTTTTACCCTGAGCTTCAAGGTTTATTTTTTTGGAAAGTAGTTTGGTGTAGCATGGGACGTTGGGCCCAGTGTTCAGATAGGACTGAGGAGATAGACTGAGCAAGTTAATTGGAATCGAGCTATGCTCGTAAGCGAAACTGGCTGAGGCTGCCAAGATAACTCCGGGTTGAATTGTGAGGTCCCCGGCCTAGTCCCATGGTTTTTCTGCAATAAATCTTCAAGCTTTCCAAAAAAAAGAAAAAAAAAAAAATCCTAAATACTACTCAGACTCTACGTTCTACTTGCACACGCCTACGAACAAGTCAGCAGTAAACTTCCGCATTTCGTCCAAAAAACTTGTCCGAAATTCGGGAAAGTGGTACGAGCGAAGTTCGGGCATGCCGTTCCAAAAAACTTGTCCGAAAACTTATTGGTCCGGTACTCCCTGCGCAGGGTCAAGACCTGCTTTGGAATACTTGTCCGAGGAAGAGGCAAAGAAAAGAGGAAGGAAACAGCCGAGTGGCTGAAAGGCGTGGGGGCTGACAATTCGAAGCACAATCGCGGGGAGAAGGGGGGAGGGAGGGGGAGGGGGGAGGGAATATAAAATTCCTGTGGCCTAAGTCCCACTAGCGGGGTTTAGACTTGGTTTCCAGTGCACACTGGTTTCTGCCATCCGATCTAAACCCCTCACGGCCGCACAATGACCGCGTTGAAAAATACTTGAAAGGAAGACCAAAACCCCCGCTAGTGGGACTCAGCCCCGGCTTCAAGGTTAAATCGGTGTGTGTTAAAAAAATGTCAGATTTCTTGCCAAAAAAAAAAAACTAAAAAAAAAAAAATAACGGAATAGATAACCAATAAAAGTTATCTCCGATTCTAGGTTACCAGCCGGGCCGCCCGGGTCACCCTATTTTCCCGGACGGCCTGGCCGTGCACGGACCAGGGAAGGTCCTAGCAAAAAAAAAAAAAAAAAAAAAAAAAAACTGTTATGCAGAAAAAGAAACTGAACAACTTTTGCCTCAGGGTCACATCGAAATTATTTACCAAATTTAAATTAAAAAATGAAGTTAAAAAATAATTTTTATTTTTTTTATTTTTTCGTTGTTTTTTGGCCCGGCCGGGCAAGTGGCCCCGGGCCACTCTGGTAGCCTAGCTCCGATTATAATTGTTATCGTCAATAATTGTTATCGTCAGAACTGTCCTTCGAGACATCCGTCTGGGTGCGTTATCAATTTGTCTGATTTCTTGCAAAAAAAAAAAAAAAAGTTAATAACAAAAAATGGAAAATACGGTAAATACCATTAATAAAAATATCTCCGATTATTGCAAATGTCAACTTCTGTCCTTCGAGACACCCATTACAATTGGAGCGATAGACCCAAAAAAATGGGACGATACAGAGAAGATTAATTAGCATGACCCCTGTGCAAGGAATGATGACACGCACAAATCGAGTGTATTTCAGATCATATAACTAGCTGTCTGCAAGATCAGGCACGAGGTCCCGCTAGCACAGAGGATTGGATATAATGCCTGAATATGGACGTGTCTGTTGGCGAGGTGCAGAAAATCGTGATTGCTCTTCTTTACTGCATCTTTCCATAGACCACATCCCCCCAGATTCAGGCCCTCGATCCAATCCTACTCCTAGTGGGGCATCACCCTCGGTATATTCAGCCAGGGTTACTTTTCAAGGTACTGGCCGAGTCATACTCTCACTAGGACCGTTCTACTGATTGCTGCACGTAATTGCGGGCAGATACACCCAGATGCGGCCGTAATTGCGGTCAGATACATTGAAGACAGTGCTCCACGGCGAGTATGCTGTCAGAGTAATTAGAAAGCGAAAGAGACGAGCACGCTATGGCCAAACTTCGCTTCCGAACATGACTTTAGGAAAAAAACAAAGTTCTAAATTACCAGCGGGCGTAAAAAAACAGAGTTCTAAATTACCAGCGGGAGTAGCCCAGTTGGTACACCCATGACCTGTTGAAATGCAGACCCAAGTGTTTTTTTTCTTTTTTTTTCTTTTTTTTTGCAGCCCCGAGTTCGAATCCACATGCAATCAGAGTTCTAAATTACCAGGGGCTGGTCAGTTCAATGGTGATATCTCAAGGCCGTCGCCATTTTAAATTAAATAAAGAACAAAAATAAGGGGAAAAAAAAAAAAAAACAGATTGAAAACCTCGCGTTCCATAAAGACTCAGAATCGCGCACGTTACCCGACAGCCGTCTTCCCCCGAACACAACACACCCTGATGATGGCTGTACCGCAACGGAAATACAGTTCGTTACATTCATTTTCAGGCTGCATTATGTTCGGGAGAAGACGGGGAGGTAGTCTCGTCGACCGGCTGCGCTCAGGTGCTCTTCAGAGGGCAAACGACCACATGTATCTGGCCGGAAATTACGGCCAGATGCACTGTCCTTGCTGAGCCTTGCGGCTTCCACCTTTAATTCCGGTTGTCCTCTCCCCCCCCCCCCACACACAACTTAATCCGACTATTGTGCTTGCTCAGCAAGAGTGATCTGGGACTTGCGACTTCCTCACGACCAGGACAGTGCGTCTGGCCGTAATTTCCGGCCACATACATCTGGAGTGTCTGGCCAGCGATCAATTTGTGTTTCTTGCAGACAGTTACCAGCTTTACCCCGCTGGGAGGAAAGTTGACGTCAACGGTAACTCTACAACGACAACTCAAAATGTGTCGCTCAAAAGAATGGGACATTCTTTTTTTTTTCTCCTTCAAGAAAAGAATGGGACATTCTAACTCTCAAAGAAGTGAAAAAATAAGCCCGGACTATACTTCTTAATTTAAAAACAGAAACGCCTGACCTTAGCATGCCCTATGTGGCTTTCAATGGTCATCCACACGTAACACTGTTCAGAAACAGATCGCGAGTAGAAATCCTGCTGGAATCAGACGGAGGCTACTCCCCTCACAACAAAAAAAAAAAGAGGGAAAAAAAAAAGAAAAAAAAAAGCAACCTCCCCTATAGATTGTACCCGGGCAGGTGACTGGAGCGTACCAGGGCAGGTGCTGGAGCTGACTGGAGAGTACATAATACAATCTAGCTCTTGATAAACAGATCAGGAATTCACAATTCAAATCCTGATGTTCAACCAGGGCGATAAAATCTCGAGAAGAAAAGAAAAATATAAATAATGTGTCGCTCACTGCAAGCAAAAAAAAGAGCGCGGGAAAATTATTATTTCCATGAAAGGGGGGCCCGGGGGGCGGGGGGAAGAGCACAAAAAAAAAAAGCCAGCAAATTGATGGCCCCCTGTGCAATTAAGGAGATAAAGGTGGCACGCAAAGACCGTAAAATGTTCCTCACCCCAACCAGCCCAGGTAACTGAAGGCACACACACACAATAAAGTACTCGTTAATAAACAGGTCACGTGTTCGAATCCTCGATGAAAACAGATGGATATAATAAGGTTAAACACTACCCCTCTTTATGAAACAGTTATGGTCCTCTTGTTTTTTAAGCTAAGAAAAACAGGTCCGACGGGACATCCATTAAAATTGGAATGATACAGAGAAGATTAATGGCCCCTGGCAACACGCATAAATCGAGAAACGATCCATTTTATGTTCGAAAAAAAAAATAAAAACGAAAACAGACCGATTCCAAAAATTGAGGAGGGGGGGGGCGGGGGCGGGGGGGGCCGCCGGAAAATATCGGTAGTCAGGAACGCAAAGCAAGCTCATGCTACTCTTGATAAATGACCGAACTCTAGATAAACAGACCTCAGTTCGAATCCAGATGGATTCAGATCAGCAAAATAACCCTGAACTACCGGTCAGTTCAGCCACGATACCTGGAGCTTGTCGAGCTCAAAAAGAAGAAAGAAAGAAAGAAAGAAGGTCGCCTGATT